CAAGAAGTAGCAGGACTCCAGCCTTTGTAGCCTGAAAATTGCAAAAGTGAAAGACTGCTTTGAGAAGAGAGCCCCAGAGCACCATATTCCTTGGGATTTGGTTCATAGGCACTGGAACCGTACAGCCAAGAGAGAAGAGAGAAGGAAGCCTGGCTACTGGTCCAGGTGGCAGCAGACCTTGGGATCAGCCACATGGTGTTGGTTTAAGGTGCATGCTGTTGTGGGGTTAGGAAGGCTTCCATCCAGATTTCACAAGGCCCAAGAGACCAGGCAATGTGCCCCTGAGAGGGCAATGTGTGAAGCTGTGCGTGTGAAGCTGAAGTTCCAGTAAAGGCCCCAAAAGTTTAGAAAAGCCAAAAACATAGATCATCTGAGGAAAATTCCAAAGAGAGAGCAGAGATGGCCCCAGAGAAAAGCCATGAGCTACAACCACTGGAAGTACCATTGGAGAGGAGCCGCCCAAGCCCTTTGGAGTTCACATCTTGCCACAGATTGCCTTGGATTCTAGACATGGAACTATAGAACTTTGGGTTTGCCCTGCTGGATTTTGGACTTCCTTTGGTTCCATTCCTTTGTATCCCTCTTTGTAACTTTTGGAATGAAAATGTCTACCCTGTGCCATTGAATGTTGGAAGTGTTTAACTTTCTTTTCCTTTGTACAGGGGCTTGCAGCTAAGAGTTTGCCTTAAATCTCAGGTGAGACTTTGGACTTGAATTTTTGAGCAATGCTGAAACTGTTAGCATTTGGCAACTCTTAGAGATGAACTAAATGCCTTTTGCATAAAGGGGTGTGCATGATTCTTTGGGGGGCCAGGGGCAGAATGTTATGGCTTGTGTTTAGATGTCCCCCCAAAGCCTCATGTGAATGAGGTGAGGCTTTTTCAGAGGTGGTTGGATCTAGAGTGTGTGATGCTAGAATTGATTCAGGGTCCAATGCTGGGCCAAGGGTACTAGGATTAAGGTTGTGAGTGCTACCTGCCCTAAGTAGTCTAAGATAAAAGGGGAAGAAAGACACTGTTAAGCTCCTTTGTTGCTTTGCTACCTTTGGTCCACCACGAACTGTTGCCCCTCTGCCACATGCCACCCTGACTTAGAGCCAGCGATTATGGACTGAAGCTTCTACAAACTGTGAGCTAAATAAGCCTTTTTCCCTAACTTTGGGTGTTGAGTATTTTGTCTCAGCAATGAGAAGAGTAACTAAGACAGGAAATGTAAATCAAAACCACAGTGAGATTCTATCTCACCCTCATTAAAATGGTTATTTCCAAGAATACAAAAAACAATGAGTGCTGGCAAGGATGTGGGAAAAAGAAACCCTCTTACACTGTTGACAGGAATGTAAACTAGTACAACCACTGTAGAGATTCCTCAAAAACCAAAATATGCAATATGATCCAGCTATACCACTCTTTGGTATACTATGAGAAGGATTAAAGACAGAATAACATAGTGATGTGTACATATACATATTTATAGCTACACAATTCACAACATCTATGATATGGAAGCAGCCTAGATGTCCATCTATAGATAAATGGATAAAGGAAATGTGGTGTATATACACAATGGAGTATTAGTCCACCATAAATGAGAATGAAATTATGTTAAATATTTAAAAAAATAAAATGTCATTTGCAGGAAAATGGGTGGAACTGTGGACATCATGTTAACTGAAATAAACCAGTCTCAAAAAGTTGAATTGCATGTTATCTTTCATATGAGCAATTTATAAATAAGTCAATAAATGAGAGATGAGAGAAAACTAGAAGGTAGACTTTTAGAGATGGGAAAAGGGGGTCAGGTGGAGGAGACAGGAAAGGGAAAGGGTATAACACTAATGAAAGTAATCAAAATATATTATATATATGTATAAACATGCCAAGATGAATCTCATTAGCCTATGTTGTTAATATATACCAACTTAAAAAAATAAGGCTGCTAAAATGCCTAATGGACTGGCTGCTGATACTCCAGGCCATGAAGTCCAGAGGCCTGGGGAAGAAGCACACCCCCCAAAACCTAAACTGGGACTCTGAAGACCTTTTTTATAAGGGTAGGATAGAGCAATTTATAACTTACGACTTGGAAGGGATGAAGGGCTAAGATGGGCACGGTGGTATACACCTCTAATTCCAGCTACTTGGGAGGCTGAAGCTGGAAGACCTAAAGTCTGATACCAGCCTGGGCAACTTAATGAGAACTTGACTCAAAATAAAAAGGGTTGAGGATGTCACTCAGTGGTATGGCACCCCTGGGTTCAACTACCAGTGCCACCGCCACCACCACCAAAAAAGAAAAAAAAACCCAAGAAAACAACCAAAGTCTAGTTAATCCTGCCAAGTATGACAGGGTCAAGAAGGTGACACAGAAGGAAAAGAATCCTTCAGTATTCAAAACTGGCTTATCAGAAGCTTTCTAAGCATACATTAACACCAACCCAGAATCAGTGCAAGAAAGATCCTTAATAGCCATCCATTTCCTGATGTAGGCTGTTCCAGATATTTGAAGGATGGTGCAAATGCTAGAGGTAGGACCATAGACCCTGCTGCTAACCTTCACTGTGCACAAATTTACACAACTTAAAGATCGAGAGGTATATTTAGCTCAAGGTTTTGGAAGGTTTGCTCCAGGGTTGGCTGGCTCCAAGGCAGAAATAGCACGACAGAAGGGCACAGGAGAGCAAAGTTGCTTAGTTTATGATGGCCAGAAAACAGAGCAGAACAGCATGAGAGAGAAAGGGGCCAGAAATCAGATATGGTTCTCAAGGTCATGGCCCCATGACCCACCCCGCCATGCCTAGCAGCGTGCTTTACTAATCTTCTACCTGTCCCTTAACAAAACTAAGATGGGCCAGGCCCCTGTAGCAGGACTCCCAAGTCTAGAGAAGCCTTTTACCTCCACAAGGGCAGAACTGTCTCCTTGCAGGCTGTATTTCAATGAGCTGGCTCTCAGGCCTTGGGAGGTAGGTGATTTATATGAAATAGGTTCACAGAGCATTTGTCACTAGGTAACTTATTTCCACCCTGTGAGACAAAATATAATCACACACAGAAAGTTGCAAGAGGCAACCATTACTTATAGCCAGCCTGGGGCAACAGAAACCTTGGATCCACTGGTCCCTCACAACTCAATAAACCTGTCCTAGAGAATGGAGTCTCAACTGCATGTGCCCCACTGGCACCACAGCCAAGGAACCCCAAAAGTCAGCTGCACCCAGGGACAATAGGACACTCAGGGCAGAACTTCGAAAGTAGAAGCTGCTTTCAGGGGACTGGGCAACAAAGCACTGATTTACAGGAAGGTACCCAGTACACCTGTGGTCTAGATCCAAAATGTCTCTCAAATCCATTGTGTTCAGATGGGCTTTCAGAAAGTGGTAAGATCATGGATGTGCTATACTCATTGGTAGATTAATCCTTTGATGAGTGCACAGCTGAATATGCTGTTAGGAGGTGGGTACTAAAGTGGATATGGGTCACTGAAAACATAACTTTGGAGGGTGCATCTCTCTTTCTGCCCTGTTCTGTTTGCTGGCTGCCACGAGCCTCCTCCCACCATGACCTTCTGCCATGCCATTTCTGCCTTGGAAGAAACCATGAACCAAAATCAACCTCTTCTCAAGTTGTCCATTTTTCAGGCATTTTGTTCCAGTAATGAGAAAGGTGATTAATAAACTAATAAAACTAAAATGAAGCCTACAGGTCTCACTGGGATATGCTCACAGCTGGAGGTTGTGGATTGTAGCCTCAGATGTTTTAGGAGACAAACCTCAGTGGTCCCAGCCTGTGTTGGTCAGATTAATCAGAGTGACTGCTGGAGCAAGAGACTCAAGTGAAAACTCAATTTCAGCCCCCAAACTGCCTGGCCCTGGCAGAACACTGTGATCTGCCAAAGGTCCAAGCCTTCCTATACTCTCATTATGTGATCCAAGAGTGTAACCTGAAGGTGCTGTCTCTGGGCCATCTCTTGAGGTTGTGTCAGCAGGAAGAAAGAAAAAAAAAACCCAAGGGGTGAGGGAATACCCTCAGCTCCCAGCAGAGCAGGTCTAGCCTCTCACCATAAGAGTGGCCCCTTCCCCACCCATGTTTGTCAGACATCACATCTGTAGTACGAATGAATGCATCTAGCAGGACCCTCTGCCTGTGGGACACAGTCAGTAGGGGAGCCCATGAGGCCCTGATTACTGCTGCAAGTATTCTACCTGCCATCTCCAGATCCCTGAGACAGCAACAAGCTCTGTATGGCCTCTAAAAATTAATCCTTGTAGTTTCTGGTTCGAGCTGAGGTGTTCCAAGGAAATACCACAGTATAAGCAGCATCTCCTGACCTTTCTGGGTGTGTCCTCTGTAAAGTGGAGAGGCTGGACACAAGAGGTCATCCAACCCAGGGGTGGGGAGGGCTGTGCCCACATAATGGGCATGGCTGCATGTGATGACAGCCTGGGCTGTGTTGTGTGAGAGGATGAGTGCTCAAGTTTATTCCTGTGTGTATCTCTGGCCAGCCACATGAATTCATGCTCCTGTATTGAATTCTCATTAAGAGATAACAGTACATCAACTAAGCTCTTAGTTTCAGGGACACAGAGAAAGCCTGGATCACCCTGAAAGAACCTAGACCCCATGTGACTTTGGAAGCCTTGGAAGTCACATGGATTGTTTGTGCTGATGTGTTTGCTGTGAATGCAAGCCACACCTTGCTGTACTCAGGAACCTAGCTGCCTCCCAAGGGGATGGGGCTGGGCCCTGGGTGACTAATGGGGGATGAGTTTTCAGAAAAGGCATCTAATGGAGCAGTTAGAAGTAAACGTGGTTCTGGACATGAGTGAAAACATTCTCTTACTGTTGAAATCATTCTGAACCACTGATTCCCAAGGAAAAACACTTTCAGTAATGTCCTGAACCTACTGTTTGGCAAGGTTTATGGACACTCCTCACCTACAGACCCTGGGGTCCACTCTCTGTACTCAGCTCTAATCTCTCAAGTACAAACTGCACCCCGAGTGCAACAGTCACAGGCTTTATTGAACACATGTCAAACATTCCAGCAAGTAAACATACATTTGATATGAAGTTGGACATGGTCTTTAAACAATTCTGAATTTTCCCCAAGAATCTAAGTTCCTTGTTTTTTGGTGGGGATCGAACTTGGGTCCTTGCGCTTGCGCAGCAGGCGGTGAAACCACTGAGGTAAATCCCTTGCCCAACAATCTAAGTTCTTGCCAATATAAAGTCTCATATAAAACTAAGTATTTTAAGGCTGCAGATTTATTCACATTTACACCAGTAAATGGTTCATCCCATGTGAATTTTCTGATGTTGAGTAAGCCTTGAGCTTCGATTAAAAGCTTTGCCACAGTCATTACATTTGTAAGGCTTCTCTCCCGTGTGAATTCTCTGATGTATAATTAAATGTGAACGCCACCTGAATATTTTCTCACAGTCATCACACTGATGCAGTTTCTTTATAGTGTTCATTTTTTTACGGCTCACAAAGGTGGGCCCTTGTAGGGTGTTCCCATATTCATAGTACCACTGGGCTCTCGTATGTATTCTCTGGTGTTCAATAAGATATGAGCTCCGACTGAAGGCCTTTCCACATTCATTACACTCATAGGGCTTCACTCCAGCGTGAATTATCTGGTGTTGGAAAAGGGTTGAGTTTTGACTGAAGGCTTTCCCACATTCATTACACTTATATGGTCTCTCCCCAGTGTGGACCCTTTGGTGGATAGTGAGCTGTGTGCTCATACTGAAGGCTTTTCCACACTGAAGGCATTCAAAGGGCTTCTCTCCTTTATGGATTCTCTGATGGTAAATCAGGCTAGAGCTCTGGCTAAAGGCTTTTCCACAGTCATTACACACATAAGGTTTTTCTCCAGTGTGGATTCGCTGATGCTGAATAAGATGTGAACCCTGGACAAACCCTTTCCCACAGTCATCACATTTAAATGGTTTTTCTCCAGTGTGAGTTCTCTGATGGCGAATAAGCCGTGAACTACAACCAAAGGCTTTTGTACATTTGTTGCATTTATAAGGTTTCTCTCCAGTGTGAATCAGCTGGTGCTGACTCAGGCGAGAGATCCACCTAAAAGCTTTCCCACACTCATTGCACTTAAAGGGCTTCTCCACAGTGTGACTTCTCTGATGTGCAACGAGGTTTGGACCTTCTGAGGATCTCAGGATTTGCAGTTTCTCTGCAGTGTGCATCCTCTGGTGCTGAGCTAGAGTTGAGCTCTGGCTGAAGGCCTTGCCACACTCCTTGCACAAGTAGGGCCTCTCCCCAGTGTGAGTTCTCTGATGTCTGACCAGCTGTGACTGCTGGCTGAAGGCCTTGCCACACTCACGACAGCTGTAGGGCCTTTCACCAGTGTGGATTCTCTGATGATGGATGAGGCTTGAGCTCTGACCAAAGGCTTTGCCACATTCCTCACACCTGTAGGGCTTCTCTCCGGTATGAATTCTTTGATGCTGAATAAGTTTTGAGCTCAGGCGGAAGGCTTTTTCACACTCAACACACTTAAACGGTTTCTCTCCGGTGTGGATTCTCTGGTGCTGGTGGAGCTGTGAGCACAGCCTGAAGACTTTTCCACACTCCTCACACTTGTATGGTTTTTCCCCACGACACTTACCTGGAAGATTCCCCTCCAAGCAGTCAGGTAACTGTTTCTGGCATTGTTGACATATGTGAGGTTTCTCCTGGTTCAAAGCCAGGTCCAAAGAGCGTCTGAGACCTCTGCCACACATCTCACATCTCTGAAACCCTTCTGGACAATCCCTCTGAAGTATCTTGGGCTGATGATCCAGATCATTGGCATTCAGTTCCCTGTGTTCATGGGCAGTGTCCTTGGTGACAGTCTTAGGAGCTGCAGTCCCCTTCTTCAAATGGTGCTTTGTGAAGAAGGAGCCCCTCAACATTAGCCCAAAGCTACTTGAATGTTTCTCTGACCAAACTTCAGAACTGCAAGGGTCCTCACAGCCAGGACCCTGAGATTTGAGAATATTGATGCCCTCACAGGCCTGCTTACAGTCAGGTTTAATGGTAGAATCTGAAACAATCAGGAAATACAAATACTCCTTAAATACTTAGCTTAGAGAAAGGATAAAGACTATGAGAAGAGGGTGGAAGTCCATACTTCCCAGGCAGGTTATGTTCAGCTGTGACACACCCTAAATGGAAACATGGTAAGGAGATCCTTGGAGTGTTCTCAATGTGCCTTCATTTACATTCTACTCATTCATTTGACAAGGATAAAGTGCTCCTCTCTATTAGGCAGTGTGGTGAGAGCTGCATGACCTAAGAGGAGTTTGTGAGCAGGGGTCCACCCTGCAGGGTGTTTTGGAGTGTATGTCCACAAGGAAGCCAAGGGCAGATGGACAAAGTGAACGTGAGAAGACGAAAAGTCTGCCAAGAAGGATTTGGCTGGGAGTGGGTATGTCAGAGGCCCCCCAGCAACCCAACTGGCAAATTTGGATACAGCAGGTCTGACCTGTGAACAAAAGGAATGGGCAGGAACAAGAGGCTAAAGAGTTGCTGAGGGCACAGCAGGTGGAGCCTAGAAGAGGGCTGATCTTGGAGGGCTGTTCCAAGCAGGACTCCAACCTCTCTGGTCCTTGCACCTGCACTGGCACTGACACTCCTTGTAAGGCTGTAGGCCAAGTGGCCAGCCAGCAGCCCATGCTGACTTCTTTCTAGGTGGGGTCTGTGTACCTATCAGTCCCCAGACACCCACTTCCCTTCTGGATCCTCCCAATAAAACACAAGTACTTTCCCATTTTGAAATCTCCAGAGCACTTGTATTGAACTCAGACCTTCCTGTTCATAACCTCAAAACATAGCTACAATCAGCCTGGATCTAGCTACAGCAAATTCATAGCCCCCCTTATAGGGCTTCAGCCTTGCCATATTTGCCCATTCCACTTCATTAGAACTGAGCCTCCAATTCCAGTGATCTGTGCAAGTCTTCCTGTCAGTCTTACATTGAGGAAGGGGTGCCACCCATGCAGCCTCTTCTCTGCAAGGAACACTTTCCAGTCAAACCTCTGTCAGTCTTCCATAATCCAATGAGTACAAGCAAATCCCCACCACAGGTAAACATGCTGGCTCACAGGGGGAACAGTGTACCCAAGGCAACACAGGACACTGGAGCCCCAAGCAATCTTCCCACCTCACCATGCAGCAGAGATGTACCTTGCCTGGCCCTCCTCTGGAGCTTTCCTCTGCCATGGGGATGAGAAAGGACAGTGAGACACAAAGCACATAGACACTGGTCCTCTGTCCCCTGTTGGAACTCAGTTCCCTTGGGAGAACCTCAAAAGAGCTGAATGCAGACCCCATATAGTTCAGCCTCCTGCTGAACAGGAATTGCCCAGCCTCCTTCTGCTCAAGAGAATGAAACTTCTATGTGGCTAAGGAGTCAAGAGCAACCACTGACCAAACGACAAGAATGTCACAAACCACCTGGCTATACTCCCAAGAACTGCCCTCTGATTCCTGTGACTATGCCTATGAGGAGCTGGAGTTAAAACTTCTGCCCTAACCCTGAACACCACCAGGCTATGGCCCTTCTCTGACAGCCCAGTCCCAGCCTCCCCGGCTACCTGGTCTCTCACAGCCACCTGCTCTTGGCAGCCCCTGGCCTTTTGCCTGGCCCATTTCTTCCTGACCCTGCTCAGCACTGATAGCACCCCCATACTCCTGAAATTGCAGTGCAAGGGTCTCTCCCCTGCCCTGGAACACAAAGACTTTTAGCAAGCTCTGGGAAACCCCTTAGAAGATGCAAGCTCTCATGAAAAATGAAAATTCTCTTTGGAAGGGCAGAGTAGGGTCAAGTTAAAGACCCCCTGAAGCCACTGTCCTGGAATACAATGCTGGGAACCACCCCTTTGAGTCACAGTGGTGGGCAAGGGCATGGGGAAGGCAGATCTGCAAATCCTACCCTCTCCCCCATCCCTCTGATTAGTATCCTTGGATATATGATACTGGCTGCACCAGCCAGAGGCAAAGTGCACATCTGGGGATTTCCATTTCACTTCATGTACTCAGTAGTGCTACTTATACTGTAATCTAAAAGGCTACACTCCCGTCTTGGACTCATTGTGGTTTACTCTGTTGTCACTTGTTTGCCTTAGGGACCACTTGTTAAGCATAAACCCACTAAACTATCTAATTCTGGCACCTTTACTTGTCTTTGCTGTCATGGTGCACTCTACAACCTCCCCTCCACCTTACTGGAAGGCTGAGTTTCAAATGGCCACCCTATAGCTTTGCCTCCTTTCCAGGGAGGATCAGAAGAAACCAATCTCTTTAGGAGGGCTGTGTAGAGTTACTTGGAAATAGGGGGGCTGCAGATGTAATTAGTTACAATGAGTTTCTTAGGGTGGCTTTTATTTCAACCGGACTGTGTCCTTATGAGGACTTGGGCACATGAAGACAGAAGTACACAGGAAGAATTCAGCTCAGTGAAAACAGAGGCAGAGACTGGTGGAATGTAGCTACAAACAAGGAGCACCAAGGACATACTACAAGAAAAGGGGTTCACTCCCCCACAGCTTTTGTGGAGAAATAGCCCTGCAGACTTCTGGCTTCTACACCTTTGAGATGATTTCTGTTGTTTTAAACCACTTAGTTTATGACTTGTTACAGCAGCCACAGGAGACTAATGCATGCAGGGGCTCAAGGATCCAAGGGGCTCAGGACACCCAGGCCCCAAAATATTCTGGAGGGAACTGCTGGAAAAGGATCTGACTCAGCAAATATGGAACCTGAAAATCAAATTCAGTGCTTTACCTGGATCCAGAGATTTGTGCCTCTGGTTAAAAGACTGTCAGTAAAATTAGAAACTGAACAAAATTTGGTAAGATTTCAAATATAGCCAGGTGTGGTGGTTCAAACCTGCAATTCCAGCACTTGGGAGGCTGAGGCAGGAGGATTGTTGTGAGTTTGAGGTCAGCCTAGGCTACATAGGGAATTCAGGACCAGCCTGGACTACACAGCAAGATCTTGTCTCAAAGGAAAAAAAAGAAAAGAGAGATTTCAAATACAAACTGCTCTTGGTTAATAAACAGCTGTTTTATGTCCTTTTTTTTCTGTGGTTTGGTCTCCCTACATCTGAATGGGGTTCCTTCTAGGCCTAGGCCTCTTCCATGGGCTCCCCAGTACTCCAGCCTCTCATAGCATCATGGCCCTACTTTGGCTCCTCTTCACCTACAGCATCTCTTTGACAAGGCCTGCACCTCACCTGTCTGGAATGTCCGTGGTGCCTTGGTCCCCTCTGCTCCCTGCAGGTCCAAGATCCATGGCTCCTGTCCCTGTTCCAGCCGGGAGATCAGCTCAGGCTTGAAGACCAGGAATCCTGCTGTGTGTGCAGCAAAGAAGAAGATGCTGGAAGCTGGCCCTGGTCTCCAGGTGTGGAGGACACGGGCTGCCAGGACAGGCAGACCCTCATGGAGGGTAAAGATACTCCATAGCCCTTTCCACCCATGTGTATCCAGCTCCCCAGGCTGGCTACAGTAAAGGGCACCCCAACTGCTACAATCTCAAGGGGACTTTGTCATCAAAGAGTCTGTAAAGAACAGGCTTCTCTACCCAGGACAGAGAAGAAGGTCACGAGGAAGCCCCACCTCTAGCCAGTGTCTCACTCAGCAGAGTCAGGGCTATCCAGGACTCTTTCAGCTTAGAGGGCTGAGCTGCCACAAAAAGTAGATGGTAAACAAACAATATTTGAAAACAACAAAAATAAATAATCAAATGAAACAGATTTCAAATAAGGCTCTGAGATCCAGTCCTCACCCTTGGCCTCCCAGGCTCAACTCTTGAACAATGACCTATCAAGAGACTGTGGAGTAGTGGACACCTGTGGGCATATCCCTGGTACCTCAGTTTTGGGGGCTACCAGCTCCCATGCTGCACAGCAGCCCCCAACCCCCATAACTGCCTGTCAATATAGGGAGGAGCATCTGACCAAAAGCAGCCAAGCCCTTGGGTTTGAAACTTCTCTCAGGCTTCCTGTCTTGGGGGGGAAATGTAAGCAGAGGTCCCAAAGGCCCACAGCAAAAGTCTCAAGCCCTCACATATAGGCAGGACCTTACACTCAACAGGAAACTGTATTCCCTCCAAGCACAAATGGAACTGAGAAATATCATTAGGTACAGCTACAAGGGGAATATGGCTGTACCAAAGAACATACACTCAGCCCAATGCCATTCATTAATTAAAATCACCCCCCCCAAAAAATAACCACCAAAAGGCAGCTTATAGCTGTTAATTACTTGGAAACTAAGTGATGAATCACTGATTCTAAATAATACAAGAGGCAAGAAAGGATTGTTCTCCAGAGCCTTTCAGTGGTGTATGGTCCTGCAGACTTCTGGTCATAAGTCAAAATTTGTAGAATGAGGTCAAAGTAGTATGTAAAGATAAAATTTAATATTTTAAAATACATTTGTGAGCAACAAGAATAGTAAAACACATGTGCGGTAAATACTGAACTCAGGAAGTTGGACAGAAAACACCACAACAAACCCAAATAAATAAAAAGGAAGTAAATAATAGAAGTGGGATAGGAATCAACAAAAAAGAGACCAAAGACAACATTTCCCACCTCCAACCACCAAAAGATTAGCAAAACCAAAAGCAGGTTCTTTGAGAAGATGAACATGTTAGTCTTGTGCCAAAAGTTGTCTAGATCAACACAGTGAAAAGATGTTGCCAAAAAACAAAACAAATAAAAATTCAGAGCTGAGTGGACCATTAAACATTAAGGGAACATAAATGCTTCTAAGGTTTTCCTTCCCCCAGGCCTGGATGGTTTTGCAGCAAGTTCTACCACAAGCGTGAAGATTCCATTAACTTCACCTCTATAAACTCCAGAAATTAAATAAAACCAGTGAGAGCTGGAGATGCAGCTCAATGGTGGAGCACTTGCTTATCACATGTGAGGCCCTGGGTTAATGGGCAGCACCATAAATGAATAAATGAATAACAAATGATAGTGAAAGCTGCCCAGCTAATTTTATGAAGCTTGCACGCCAAAAACCATTTGCCAAAAATGTCAAAATTATCTATAAAGGTAATATACAAAAGGAACTAAGTCCATTTCACTTAAGAATATAGATACAAAAATCCAAAATAGGCCAGAGATTTAGCTCAGTGGTTCTGGTGCCTGCCTCACAAGCACAAGGTCCTGAGTTTGATCCCCAGTACCAAAAAAAGAAAAAAAAATATCCAAAATATAATATCGGTTGTTGGAAAAAACTATCAAAATTTATATATAAATATCACTATTTAAGTAGGAATTATTCCCGAAATATAAAAATACAATGTAATCAGGCTGGGGATTTAGCTCAGTGGTTCTCCTGCCTGCCTCGCAAGTGCAAGGTCCCGAGTTTGATCCCCAGTACCAAAAAGAAACCCCCCAAAAATGTAATTTACTACACTGATTAAAAAAAATCAGAGGAGTATCACACTTGGTGCAGAAAAAATATTTGAAATCTAATGCTTATTAATGATTATAAGCAAAACAAAAAACCTTAGCCAGCTTCTGTGCTTAGGTGGATATCTTTCCCTTAAAATGAGGAACAGAGCCATGTGTGGTGACTTATACCTATAAGCATAGCACCCTGGGAAGCTGAGGCAGGGAGATCTCAGTTTCAAGCCCAGCCTGAGTAACTTAGTGAAGCAAGACACTGTCTCAAAATTTAAAAAAAACAAAAAGCTGGAAGATGGGTGTGGTGGCATATGCCTGTAATCCCAGCACTCAGGAGGCTGAGGCAGGAAGACTGCCACAAGTTGGAGGCCAGCCTGGACTACATAGTAGTAAGTTCAAGACCAGCCTGGACTACACAGCGAGATCTTCTCTCAAAAATACTATAAATAAATAAGTAAGTAGGGCTAGGGGTGCAGCAAAGGCCCTAGGTTCAACATCCAGTACAATCAATCACTTGATCAAATCAGGAACAGAGGAACACATCCACAAGACCATTGTTTAACATAATCCTGGCCACTGCTCAGGTAGCTGCAGAAAGAGTAAGAGCTAGAAGTTCCTGAGAACACAGTGGAATTAGTATCAACACTGAACCAAGCAAGCTAGCTGCACAAAGGTGCCAAACACAGTATCAGCTCTCCAAAATCAATAGCATTTCTTTATAAAAGCAATAACGAGCTAAAAATATAATGACCTTAAAAGAATTAAGCACAATGTGTTGGCACAAACCTTTAATTCCAACTACTAGGACGCTGAAGCAGGAAGATGACAAATTTGAGGCCAGCTTGGGCAGTTTAATGAGGAAGAAAAAAATACCACAAAACCAAAGCAACAAAGCAAGTATATATAAAGCCAAACAAAAAGCATGGAAAGGAACAGGGACCTGATACATTTTATAAATAGACATTATCAACAGGAAAAGGAGGCTGTTAGCTGGGCATGGTGGTACATGCCTTTAACTTAAAACACTGGGAAGCTAAGGCAAGGTGATTGCAAGCTCAAGCCCAGCTAGAGCAACTTTATAAGACCCTGTCTCAAAATAATAAAAAATGAGAGGGAAGAAAGGGGTAAATAAAAGATTTAAGATGGGTTATATACATGCACCAACTCCCCACAAAGAATGTAAAAATTATGTGCCAGAAACATGTACCAATAAAAATTAAAATTAAAAAATAAAAATAAATAGCTGGGGAAGTAACTCAGTGTGAAGGTCCTAGGTTCAAAAGGAGCTTATTTAAATGGTTTTGGAGAAACAACTGTTCAGGCAAAACATCAGAAGGCTGGACTTTGCCAGACTTGCTGGGTCAAAGGGTGCAGGCTTGGTCCAGCACTCTGAGAAGCACCTAGTCAACCAGCTATACCTCCACCCACCCTACTCCTCCTCCCCTCACCTAGGCACTCTGTCAAGGGACAAGAATGCTCTTGTGTTGTGGGGCTGGAGAGGACTTAGGCCCAACACAACAGAGGATTCGGTAACAACTGAGAGGCACAACAAGGAGTGAACCGGATCCACACTGTCTCCACAATGTTGAAACCCAACAAGAGGACTGTGTTTCAAGGACACATACACAAAGATGGATATGAAATGTGCTGCATGTGGTGGTGGGGTTGGGAGAGGAAGACTGATAGCAAGACAGGAGGAAGAAAAGGATGCCTGAGGGAATCTGCAAAACACTCCAGGGCATTGGTGCCACCTCTGCTCTGGTTTTACAACCACTTCTATAGGTTCCTCAAGACAATTTTTCTGTCTAAGGTATTTCAGATTTTTGTCTATTCCTTACACACTAATTGAACTTAGGAAAAAAGGAGGCTTTATTAGCTCCTACAATTCTACCTAGCACTTCACATGCACAAAGCCTGGAGCCAGCCTGGCTCACTAAGCAGCCTCAAGGCTGCTGTTGAGCCCTTCAGGACCTGAGCAATCAGCCTCAATGTCCCCAGCATCTGACAGATGCCTGGTAGGGCGTGTGCTAGCAGATGGCACAGAGGACAGGGTATCCAGGTGCAGCCTCACCTAGTCCGGCAACACTGCTGTGGTTCTCCAGCATCACCTCCCTGTAGAGGGCCCTCTGGCCAGAATCCAGACATTGCCACTCCTCCCGGGAAAAGTGCACAGCCACATCGCCAAATGTCACCGCCTCCTGAAAGGACATACACCAGTCTCCCAGGGATCCCCAGAGGGGATCAGCCCCATTCTGGTGCCACATCATGGCATTTCTCAGACAGGTGCACCACGGGGTTGGTGGGTAGTTATCTGGGTCCTGTGGCTCTAAAGTCCTACCTAGGAAGGGGGAACTCTTCAGGGAAGAAGGGACCCAGTTCACGGTGACCTTAACACACCCTCTGAAGATCCTCAGATGGGCCCTGGTCTGGGCAGAGGTTTGCACACTGCCTTGGGGATGGAAACATAGGGGCCTTACTGAGCCTGGCACAGGCCACAATGAGGGCCAAGGCTGTGTCTGGGCACAGGTCCAACGTCCAAGGTTCCCACATGAGGAAATGGAAGCAGGCAGGCTCCCTACCATGAGTTCCACAAGTAGGCCTCCGCTTGTCCTGGCTGAGACACCTGTTGGAAATTATGAAACTGGTCAGAGGTCAGGGTGCTAGAAGCTGCCTATCTTCCAGGATAACTGAGGAGGTACAGCATTCCCTGCTCCCACCCCAGACACTACTACTTTTCAGTGACAGGGTACTTGACTGAAGCAGATCTGCTACCTGAGTATCTGCCCCTTAAAGCTTTGTTCATCCTTCAATCTGTATGTGTGATGTGTGAAACATGCCAGAAACACATTGGGAAGGGCTGCTATGTGCCACACAGTCAACTGAGCAGTGGGAAGGCAGCAATGAAGGTACAAGGATGAAGCCTTCATGGAGCAGTCTACTGGAGGGAAGAAATCAAATATCCACAGATCACAATGATGATAGTACTGAAGGGGGCTAGGAAGCCTTTAAACTAGAAAGCTGATAAAAGAGCCACTTCCCTAGGGAACCAGGCCAAGGAGACGTTGGTAGGGAGAGCACTACAGGCAGCAGGAACATGTGCAACCGACCTAAGGTAAACAAAAGCTAAGTGAGCTAAGTGAGCCAGTATGTGTAGATCACAGGTAGTAAGAGGAGGGAATGACTGAAGCTGGAGCAGACAGGAGACAGAACCATGGGCTGCAGAAGTCAGGATCTGATTTGATGCAGGAACCCTACTCCCAAATACTAAACACATGTGGCCACAGCTAGCCTGTCACCAAGATGGCATCAACCAATGGATGCAATCCGAGGAAGATCTTCCACTTCAGCTGAACCAATGACCTCAGACCCCTCTGTAGGCATCCCCTGGGAAGTCCAAATGTGAAGCAGCCAGCGGCCCCAGGCTACTGATATAGGGAGGCTGGTGTGAGCAGCAGTGACCACTGGAGAAAGATTCCCACCCTGCGCCCGGGCAGCAGGAATGCTTCTTCCAGAGTTGGACCTTGGGTCCGTGACAGAGAAGGGCTGGCCTGGGAGGCGGCCAGAATTCAAAAGACCAACTGCCTATCCTACCCAAGGCATCGCCGTTTTTGCAACTGTCACCAATTCTAAGCCTTCCAGGGGCAAAAAGAGAAGAAAAGACAGGGTCCTAGAAAGTGATTATCCAAGGAAGAAAAGGACCCCCGAGGAAAGACCAGGCCTGGAAAAAGCCACAGTTAGCGCTCGCCTTACTCAGGCCCAAGACCGGAGCCCGCGGGCGGAGGATCCGCAAGGCTCGACCACTCGACTCCTTCCATCCGCCGATGCTGGCTGGGGCAGCCGCTGCCCGACCAGGTCCTCCGCCAGGCGCTCACAGTGGCTCCGGACCGCCCACGTCATTTGCGCTCCCCGGTATAGAGGCCACTGGTCACTTTGCCTGAGAGCGCTGAAACAAGACTGAGCCCACACAGCCGACTCAACCTCCCCGCGGCCAGCGTGAGGCCCGCCGGAGGTTCGCTTTGCGCGACGCCGCCGGAAACGGGCCTCAGACTCCCGCCCCGCCTAGCGGACTTCCGGCCGTTCTGGTCCACCCGGAGGCCCGGTCATCTCAATGGTTTTCAGCCTTGCCTCCCGGGTAGGGGCGAAAATGGAGCGGACAGAGCCCAAAGGAGAGCCTGAAGCCCCGAGCTGAGGTGGACTGGGCTGCAGTGGGCCTGAGCCCACGGAGGCCCCAAGTTGGGCGTGGCTAGTCGGCAGTGGGCGTGGCCGGACCCTGACTCCCTGGCTGAGGATTCTAGACCCTTTTAGGGATGTTTGGGTTCAGCCTTGCTCATTTCGCATCCCACAACCTCCCTGTGCAACGCTGCCGAACCAGGGCGCCCCGCAGGTTCGGGGAACCATCTTGCTTAGGGCCTCCTGAACGGCCCTGCGTGGCTCCTGTCGACATCGTCGAAAGGTGCTGGCGCTCCGAAGACTTAAAAACTAGACTCACACCTAGCGATAATGATCAAATACCCGGGTCCCGGACAGCCACTGGCTTCTGGAGAAGTCAGCTCTCACCTTCCTCAGAGGGTCCCTGTGGAAAACAAACTACCTTACATCTGCAGTGGCAGGGTCCCTAAGAACCCTTGTCTAGGGGTGCTGAGACCCCAGCAGCTCTCTGCCTAAGACTGGGAGCCACACAGGTCCTAATGTGATGGGGGGAAATAATTCCCAACCTGTTCCATGTCAGATGTCCTGAGTTCATGTCTCTCGACATCAAAGAATGATTAATTTCGAGGACAAAGGAAGTTAGGAGTAGGAAAAGTTTATTGAAAGCTCCTGAGAGACAGGAGGGGTCCCGAAAGTGGGTTGCCACTGAGCTTCTTTGTCCAAGAATATTTTATACAGCAAAATCAAAATGTGGGTACAACATGGGTCAAACTACAATCAATCTATAGGGATACAAGTATGGTTGCTTACCTAATATTGATCTAATGGGGAAGTGAGGCACATAGCAAGGGATATGGCAAGCGTCATTGATTTTAGTTTATTTATAATTTCGAACATAGAACAAAGGCAGTCCTGGAAAAGGATGAGACTGGGTCTGGATGTTCTGGTCACCACCTAGATGCCCTCCCTGGCTTTTCTCAGGGGCCCAGGTGGTGCTAATTACAGTATAATCTCGAGCTGCTATTTCTAGGAAGGCTGGTAGGCTTGTTTTTTCCATCTCCGTCTTGAGGCCTCGCTCTTCAAATTCACCTCTAGCCACAATTTTGATGTGTTTCATCTTCTGCACTGACTCCCTCAAGGGCCTGATCCCTGTCTGAGTCCCTATTAATTTTGTATCTAACATAACTGGCTATAATACTAAGATCTTTCTTTGGAACCCCTTTCTCAGGATGATTTCAGGCACTCCCTTGTTGGAATTCCCCGTTTTCTGAGTGCCTTTGGCCTCAGGTTCAACTGGACAGTGTTCCCAAGGTTAAGGGCCATGCTGCATGCGTGTCACTCCCCAAGAACAATGGATACATTTTTGGTGGGAGAGAAAAAAAAGGTTTATTCAAAGTTGGCTCTGACTAATTTAGAGAAGCCTCTTGCTCCCTCCAAACTCTATCTCCCTGTGCTCAGGTGTGCACAAGGTTTTTATTGTTAGGAAGAGTGAGGAAACACAGTAAGACCATAGACAGGAGTCTGTGCTGGGATGGGGTCTTTTCTCAGCAATGGGTGATTTCTTCTTGGCCATGATTGGTTCCTCCATCTCCCTTGTCAAAAAGAAATCAGATCTTGACCTCTTGGGAGCAGTTCTTGCATTTTTTTTTTTAAACAAATGGGGTTACATTTTTGAAAGTCCATTCATATGAGCTGGAAGGGGACTGTTTAAAGAAGCTTCTCTTTAAAAATTGGAATACAAAAAAGAGGGTGGGGGATTTAGCTCAGTGTCACCGTGCCTGCCTCATAAGCACAAGGTCCTGAGTTCGAACCCCAGTACTAAAAAAATAAAACAACAACAACAAAAGAATGGGGTGTTAGAGGACAAGGAAAAGTTTTGGGAAGGAAGGATACTCTATTGAAATTTTTGTTTGTTTTTTTGAAACAAGCTTTCACTATGTAATTGAGCTAGCCTTGAACTTACTATGTAGCCCAGCCTGGCCTCAAACTTGTGACAATCCTCCTGCCTTGGCCTCCCAAATCCTGAGATTACAATCATGTGCCATTATACCTGGCTTCCAAAACTTTTTTTTTTTTTTTAAAGCAGATTGGTTACAACAGAACCAGGTTCAAAATTTTAAATATTCCTGGACAGATCCCAACTGTCTGTTTCGCTGCCTGCTGCGCAAGCGCAAGGACCCCAGTTCGATCCCCGGGACCAAAAAAAAAAAAAAAACAAAACCAAACAAAGGAAAAAAACCAGACAGTAGAAAGCGCTTTCTGTATCCTAGCAGGCACCCAGATCAATGCTGCTGTCAATAGACAAGGACAGATAGGGCCTCTCTACAGGGTCAGCCCCACCTTTGGACAGGCACAAGTCTCAGAGTTATTAAAATGTATTGGGATTTGTTTTAGTGGAGTGTGAGACATGCAAACACAAACAACTGTCATGAAGGAAGGAGTTTATGGTCACAGGTCCCAAGAAACAAGAGAAAGGTGCTGTGGTTTGCACCTGGAATGTCACCCAAAGGCCATGTGCTGGGGGCTTGTTTGCTAGCTGATTGAATCAGGAAGATTCTAACTTCATTAGCCTATCAATCCATTAGGGCTAAGGACAGATGCTGGATCCCTGTCTTCCCAGTATAGGTATACTGATTGTCAGCCACCAGCTTTTACAATTTCCTATTTCAGACCATGGGTGTGGCATGTAAAAATCTCCAATCATTGGCCTAAACCAGGAGGGTCCAATTGTTTTCCTGATTAACTCCATCTTGCCTTCAGACTTGTTCTGCCTCTGAGTCTCTCTTGTGGTCACCTTGGATTCCAACAAAGATAAATATTTTGTGACAGGAGTCAAACTACTCCCAGCAGCAGCTAGTTTCTTCCTCCACCAAGGCTCCACGTGGCTGATCCCAAGGTAATAACCAACCAAAACATGGCCTAAAACTGCCAGTTTATGAAACAAGCCCCAACCCTTACTTTTGTTCCTTCCCTATGAAACCCCAGCGTTACTGTTTCTTAGGGTTAGATAAGATTATTGTTAGCACCTCAGAGAGACAGACCTTCAGTCACAATATAGGAAACAAAAAAAAGCAGCCTATTTTCAGGATAAAGTCTTTAGCCTCCAGATATGACTGTGGTCGTGCATCTGAGAAGGTCTCTAAACAAAGTGGGGAAGGTAAATAATCAAGTATGGAATTCACTATGCTAATTCTGACTGGAAAATCACTTGCAGTTAACTACAACATGTTTTTTTTTTCTTGGTTGGGGGGACTGATAGAGCAGACTGTAACCTCTGAGTACTGGGACAAAGAAAAGGGAGCGGGAACTTCAGGTTAAGGTTTAAATTGCTCTTTGTGACCACTCTGAGGGAGTCACTTTATTTGTTGGGCTGGCAACTTGTTTGTGTGAGAATAAGAAATAAAAGTCTTGCTTTCACTGCCCTCCCTGCTTCTAAAGTCCATTCTTTGGGTCTGGACAAGTAAAGTCATTTCTCATAATGAGACTGCTGTTTTTCTTTCGCAGTGTGGCCACGCTAAGAGTAAGATCATTTCTTGCTACTTGCCTCCTGTTTGGTCAATTGGGCAAGCCTGGCGGATTGGGAACCCTGAGTTGGGCCTCTGGCCTAGAACTTGGTAACAGTCACACAGCCACTACATTGAATAGATGTTCCTACAAAGGAACTGTCACTGCTTTGCAACAAATCAGCACTGCCGGTTTATTTTAAGCTCTCACTTTCCCTGCCTATTGCAGAACACTGATTCAGAACTCTCCAAACCTGTATTTCCAGGGGCAATTCCTAAGACCCCCAAATTAAGTTCCTTTAGTTTTATAGTTTCTGAACTTGAACTGATTGACAAGGTCAAGTCAGAAGAACATTGAAAAATGTTCACTGGTTTTAGCAACAGGGAGACCATTGGTGTAGTGAACAGCTCAAACAGGGCGCCTCGAGAATCTTGCACATTTCCACAAAGGCTTCTGGTTAAGGCTTAACCACACAGCCTGCCCTGAGTTTTGGCAGAACGCCCTAAGGCTCCTCCTAGAACAAAAGGAGCCAATCAGGCCATTTATCACTCGCATTTATCACTTGGTTTCCCTGATTCTGGAAGTTCCCACCCTGCTTCCTCTGGGGCTACCACACCACCTGCTGGCAGTTTGGAGTTGTAGTCCCCAGCAGCAGAGAGACTATCTCTGCTTTCTGTCATCTGGCCCCTCTGATTTACTGTCATTCTGGGGGTTTAGAAACACAGGTTGCTGCTGATCATACTATTATAGACAGATGAGTGAGATAGAAATATTATAGGCAGTCAGATAGGACTAGGTCCTTGAGAGGGTCAGGACAAAGGTGAAACACACCACAGCTGTGGCCTGAGACGTATCTGTTGGAAACTGGACCTCAAGATAAAGACAAAATGACCAGACCTGCGTACTTCCTCAAAGGACAAACACTGGGCCTAACGAAGTTTAGATAGACATCAGCCACCCCGGTGGGTGACCAGAGACCCACAATTTTCTAGGAGAAATCTTTATTCTTTCCATCCACACTTGTTATATGACTCGTTTCCCAATTGAACCCCTATTACCTAAGTGACTATACTTGTAACCTTATTGGATGATTATGGCTGTGGCCCACATTGTACCCACATAGGTTTTGCTCTATAAAAGTCCTCTGTAAAGCGGGGTCCCTGGCTACCCACTCTGGTCCCCTCCTTCCCCTCAGGAGCTTTCCTATCAATAAATATCTTCCTACTCTCAATTTCTGTTGTTCCTAGAATTCACTCTAGATTCATTCTTCAATTTTTAGAGAATAAGAGCTCAGCTAACAGGTTGGGAAATACAGTATTTCATATTTAATCTCTAGTATTATTTCTTTCATCAACACCATCCTCGCTGTGGCTGAGTACATAAGAAACACAGTCTAAAACAGGGTTGGTGGTGCATGCCTGTAATCCTAGAACTCTGGAAGTCTGAGGCAGGAAGATTGCAAGTTTAAGCCCAGCCTGGACAATTTAATGAAACCCTGTCCCAAAATGAGAATAAGAAATGTCCTGGGGATGTAGCTCAGTGTGAAGGTGCTGTTAGAAAGAAGGCAGAGGGGCAGAAAGAGAAGGGAAGGAAGGACAGAGGGAGGAAGAAAGAGTCTACATCCTTTTCAATCATTACTGACCAAATCCTTGTGAGGGTGGCAAGCCAGCCTAGCAAAGCATCTGTGGTCATGACAGTAGTGATGCAGCAGCCACCAGACTGCTGCTTAGGGAACGGTTAGCCAATGGTAACCCTATAAATTGGAGCTATCCCAGGCAGACACAGAAACAATTGTCATGAAGGAAGGAGTCTATGATCACAGATCTCTAGAGACAAGAGGCAGAGTATGTCACAAGGCCACCCAGGAAGGACAAGGATTGTTAAGGGGAAAAAAGAAGAAGGTAAACCAGGCATGGTGGCATATGCCGGTAATCCCAATGTAGTAGCTTAATTTAGTTATTATGGGTAGACAGAGCAGCCTAGCGATAGGGCTGGATAAAACAGCCAATTAAAGCAGCATTTTAATCAAGCAGTAAGTTAAACCTAGAAATGCAAAAGAAAATACAAGAACAAAGGATAAAAGGTTGGGATGAGAATAGAGAGATAAGGACTCTTCCCTCCAGGAAGAAGACTCTTACCCAGGATGCATTTAGTTACAGCTGACTCCTCCTTACCTCTGCACCATCCACCTCATTTCAACCAGACCCAGAAAAAGCAGAAATGCAAGATAACCAATTTGCCTTTGAACTCATTTCCTTTGAAACAAGCTCCCTTACCACACTCTGCTTATGCATGTAAGATAAAGACCAGGACCATGTTTTGAATTTTCTGCTCAGAATCCCCTTGGGATGAACATCTATTATGATCTTTTCTTATTATTTCCATTGAAGCTCTCATAACTTCCTTTTTTAGTTTAGGACTTCATTCTTTATCCATGAGCTCAGTTTGTACAGAAGTAATGATTTTGAGTCAGGCATGGTGGCGCACAACTGTGATCCTGTAAGACCGTGGGCCTCACCAAACACTCCGAGGGTCTACAGCAAAGATCACCTGGGAAGGAACACATCAGACAAGTTGTGAAAGTAAAACAGACCTTTATTAGACTGGCCAGACGGCACCCTCCAAGCACCAAGCTTAGAGAGGCGCCCAGCTCAGAGTCTGAGGCACTTTTATAGGGGTCACAAGAGGGAACGTGGCAAGCAGCCGTACAGAAGCAATACGTTGGCAGTTAGGGGAGCGTAGCAACCTGTACAGAAGCCAGACGTTCTACTATTAGAACATTTGTAAAACAATAGTTGATTAATTGTTGTTTCTAAGAGACTCTCTAAGGGGAGGAGGTTTCTAAGCTTCCTCCTTCTGAGTTTATCTAAAGGGCAGGTAGGTAGGTCAAGCAGCAATATGGAGTCTGTCTTGTTAACAAGGGTCCTTCATTCCGCACTGGTTCTTGTAACTTCATCAAATTTTTGATTCCTGTATTTACTCTTTGAATATTTTTTTAAACATCTTTTAAAATCTCATAACTTTGTCTCAACACCATCAGTTTAACTGTATCAACCCTCTGTCTAACATATTTAGGCAGAGCAGTTATAATGTAAGGTCCCACAAGCAAAAGCAGAAATAAGATAACTAAGGGGCTTGTTGCAGCAGAAAGTAGGGTAGTTAACCATGGGGACCAGTCAAATAGATTTTGAAACCAATTTTGATCCTTTTGTTGAGCATATTTAGTCTTTAAATTTTCTTTGACCATAGGTAAGGTATCTCTAAT